TTGAAAGAACTATGATAAATAGTGAGAAAGTAAATAGGGAATGGCTAGTCTATTCTCTGTGTACTGGGTGTGTGTGCACTGTGCTCCTTGCAAAGTGTTTTGTCAAAAGAATGAAGCATTCATAAATGGTTTCAGTGATTGGAAAAATTCCCATAGCAGGGTTAGGACCCATGAGAACAGTTCTCAGCACAAAAACTGCATTAGAATTTGGCATGCCAGAGCATCAGATGAGCATAGAATTGACCAAGACCAATTGAGAGATTTATCAATTTTGTTGAGGTCCATTCACATAAAGCAGAAAATTTAGCCAATTTAGTGAAAGACATCACAACTGAAGTTCTGAGCCTTGACATTAGTAACCTTCGTGGGCAAAGTTATGACAATGCCTCTAATATGGCTGGTGCATATTCAGGTTTGCAGGCCAGAATCAAAGAATTAAATGAACTTGTCCATTTTGTGCCATGTACTGGTCATTCACTAAATCTTGTTGGGGGCCTCATCAGCAGAGTTGTCTTGATGCAATAACTTTCTTTAATTTCCTGCAAAACCTGTACACATTATTTTCATCCTCCACACACACAGATGGGACTGTTTAGTTCAGGCTATAGAGAAAGGAGATCTAGTAGTCAAGTCTTTGTCAAACACTCGTTGGAGTGTCAGGGCTGATGCAGTTAAAGCTGTTAGAAACCATTATTGCAAAATCATGAATTCTCTCCTTAAAATTAGCAAAAATAGAACCCAGACAATGACTATAAGGGCTGAGGAGGGAGGCCTGATCAAACAAATAAAGTCTTTTGAAACTGCTCTGATGACAGTTATATGAAGCACTATATTAGAACAATTCAATGCAACTAACATAGCTTTGCAAAGTCCCACAGCTGACCTTCTCACTGTAATCAATTTGTACAAGTCCCTCTTAACATTTGTACAAAAACTGAGACAAGTTTGATGATTTTGAACAAACAGCAGCCATTTTTGTCAAAGATTCCTTTTTTTGATGAAAGTCCAACAACTGCAGCACAATTGTCTCCTAAAGATCAATTCAGAATTGGAACTTTCTATTGTGTGTGTGTGACAGTCTTGTTACAGAATTGAACAAAAGGCTTGAAGCCTATTCTAAATTACAGGAACTATTTAGTTTTCTCACAGAATTTACCTCCATGACTTCAGACCGATTGCAGAGTCAGATCTTAGACCTTGTACAAGCTTATTCCAAAGACCTGGAACCTGTTTTAGTGGAAGAATTCTGCCAATTCATGGAGCTGTTAGGGGATGATAAATCAATACAGCATATGAGTGATTTACTAAAACCCAATAGTTTACTGCTTGCAACATTCTCAAATGTGGCAAAAGCAGTTCAAATATACTTAACTATTCCAGTCAACAATTGTGAAGGAGAAAGATCATTTTCAACATTGAGTAAGGTCAAAAACTATCTCCAATCAACAATGGGCTAAGATAAGTAAGGCACCCTTGCACTGATGTGCATTAAATGTGAGACGCTCAAAAAAGCTAGACTTTAATGACCTTGTTAGGACATTTGTAGCAGGGAAACGAAGAAAAAGGGACTTCTAAGTCTGTAAAACTTTCTATGTGTAATAAGAATATTTCCACACATTTATTTCAGTAGACATGCATTTCATGTATTATATATCTTGAAATGTGTTTTATGTTTGGTTAACATGTCCTTAAGATTAATTTTGACATATAGACACAGAGTTGAGATAGGCCTATGATAATGATAGGCCTATGTATTTCTCAACTTAGTCAGATTATTATATTCATATTTATGTATTAGTATGTTAAAATATACAATGTATATTTATGTTTATGTAATTTGAATGGCTCAACAGTTGAAGTATAATGCTATGATTTCTGGATCATTGTTAAGTAAAATACAAAATTGAATTTCTACCCATTCTGTTTCTTTCACAATATATTCCAGTTCAAAGATGTACATTTAGATTCACCAACCTCTCTCCTTGGCAACAAGAAAAAAACAAAAAAACTATGTATATATACATCCACACTCCATTGAGTTTAGGAGCTCCACTTCTATACCGTGCATAGGGCCCCCCCATTCAGGCTAATCCGGCCCCGATTACACAAGCGACTACCATTTTACAAATGTAAGAATGATACAAAGAGAAAATGTTGTGAGGAATGAAAGATGGGTTAGCCAAGAATATCTCAAACAGAAAGTGATTCCTCCAATTAACATTATCAACCGATCAGTAATCCAAAGAATATGATTTACTAATACAAAGATTGAAGGTCACACTAAAGAAAATAAAAATCAAATTCTGGAAGTGGAAAGAAATCCAGGAATACAATGTGATGATAGGAGAATAATGATAGGTTTAACTTAATACACTGTTCTTACTCTAATATGCAATTATGATTAGCACCCTTTTCAGATATAAACAAGATATTTGATATAATACATAAAGGAAACAGTAATAAAGAATGTCTCACTCTTCTTGTCAAACTTAGCCAACCTAAATATAAAACTGTGGCTGTGCTAGAACATAATTAACAACTAGTGGTGAATAAAAAGCCAACAACTATGATGAATGAGAAGAAGTCAAACATTGCCAATAGGTGGTGAGAACATGTTTGTAGGTCTGAAGAGTCATTTAGGAATATACTGCCCTTGATTATTTTATGGTCTTTGAAGTGATTTCTTGGTGATTTATACTAATAAAGTCAAGATTTATGTTGTGCCATGGATTTTCCCAGTTTTTACTTTTATATTAAATCCTATAACACACTTCTTGTATCTGATAGTTAGGGAAATAGCCTGTTGAATGGGTAGCTGGGTCTCAGATCTGAAACGATGTCACATGGGATTCCTTTTATAAATTTATGAATATAGTACTTTTTCTTCTGTAGGATTCATCATACAGTCTATTAATCATAAGAGTACAAGACAAAGCTCTCACTGCAAATTATTGATTAATTTTGCCTAAGTTTACAGCTAATTTTAGTATGTGTAATAAAAATATATTAAGCTAAAATTGTATAAGACTGACACCTACAAGTTAGGCACAATAATTCTGAACACCAGTAAGAAATATCACCAGACACAGAATTATATGGCTTTAGATGGAGTTTGATTGGTATAATTTGTATTTGTGCTTTACATAATTATTTATTCGTTACCTAAATGGGTGATATACCTTATAAACTTTGTTGTTTGTTATAAGCACAAAGTGCTATCTGTGTTCTGCCCACCATAGATATCTAAACCCATTTTCTAGCAACATAAGTCCACAGACATACTGTTGTGCCACTAGGGGGCACCTTCTAAACTGCTAGGTCTTTTAGACTTTTTACAAAACAGTTAAAATTAGACAAAATTGTAACCAGTAAATTGATCTTTATCTTGTTAATTTTTTTTAACATAGTTAAAACAAAGCTACTATCATATAGCTTACAAACAAATAAAACAATTTGACTATATGGAACATATTGCAAGTTTCCATTACAATTTAGTCTTTTGTAATATGCTTGACAGATTTATTTACTGGCTTTCTAATTGCAAGTATATTTTCAAGATTAATGACTCCTCTTCAGTTGAAAATGAAGCTGTTACAAGTTTGTTTGTTTGTTGGGTTTCACACAAAGCAAAACAAGGGCTACCTGCACTAACCGTCCATAATTTTGAAGTGATAGACAAGAGCTAGTCAATAATACCAACACAAACCTTGGGCTACTCAGCTCCACAGTCCAGCATGCTAACCACTGTGCCAAATCAAATCTAAATATACCTTCAAACATATAATAAGAAAAATATTTGACAGAACTTTAATGTATCATACAATATACAAGTTGACAATTTGGGAAAGGACAGAATATGTTTGGATAATCATCACATCCTATGTTGATATTGTGAAACAGTATTAAGACATTGTACTACCTTTTCAATATTTTTTAAGATTCATGCAAGAAAAACATTTATTAATATTCTTTACTGAATGAGTTACAATAATTACAAGAACATTACTTTAATTAACCAGTGTCTAAGATATTAACATATTAATCCACATTTATTATGAATGGTTGACAATGAAAACTAATAACATTAAAGTTGGGGGACATTGTTATATAAGCTGTATTGTATCAGGTAAATGATTAAACAGAACAAATATCTAAATCATCAAAATATTATTAATTTCAGTATTAAGAGTCTAGTTATTTCTATGACCAAAAGATGTTGTTGTGAATGATAAATTTTTAAGATTAAAAGCCAAAGAGTAAGGAAGCTACAGTAGTTCTCAAATTATGACTTTACTATTGTAAGATATACAAGATAAATGAAAACAAAAAACGTACTGTCATGAATAGCTTGCACTATAAGAAATAGCAAACATGTCAGGATCAATAAATAATCTGACGAACTGATATTCTGGAAGCTAACTTAAAGTATAACAACAAATTCAGTAATATAATACATATCAGAGAAACCATATGTTCAAGAGTCTATCAGTGGTGTAGTTAAGTTGTCAATACAAAAATGTGATGAAAAACCACAGAGAAGGGACCTAACTAAATTATACAAGCCTGGATGCCATTAGTCTATTGAAAATTGTTGTAGTACTAATATTATATATTCATTCAAACCAAGATGCTGAAGAATGACAAGAAAGTCTATGAATGGATCTATTTCATGATTTGAAGTGTATAGTGAAATTCCTATGGATTAAGAATGTAAATATGTATTTGTACTTAGAGATGTGCAAGTTATTCAATATGAAAAATAGAATACCATACATTTAGGATTCTGAACATGACATTAGAAACAATGCATACTTGCAGGATCCCTCAAATAACTAAAGCTATATAATTGTTTGTTTCTTCAATGAATGCATATTGGCTCATACTAAACAACAGTACAGTTCTTGAGGTGTAGATGATTTTTTTGTTCAACTTTTAATACTGACTGACTCACTCATTGTGTTGTATAAGGTGTGAAAAAAAAAACAGTACTGTAATAAGGATTCAGGATAAAGAAGCTAAATGTTTAATATAAAATAAATGGTTGTGTACATGAAAAACTTCAAGCTTAGATAGGCTTAATTTTAAAGTGAAGTCCAATCAATGAAAATACAAGACATTTCAGGTCCTGAACAAGGTAGTAAAAACAACGTAAACCTTCAGTGTCTCTGAAATGGAAAAAAATAAGAAAAAATTTCAGAAAATAACATCACATATATATATACATATATATATATATATCACAATAAAACTACAGTATAAAACAAATTCTAGCTTGTAATATACAAAGGAAGAACCAAGTTATTTTGGAGATAATACTATATAATCTTTTTTCAAATATACTCATGAGAGCCACAATAAATATCATCAATTTATTTACAAAAGCACCATAACAAATACATTTATTACTCAATCATTAACTAAATACAGTGTGAAGTTTAAATCATCATGCTTTGGTTGTCACCAGAATAAGATTAATGTATAAAAGCAGGCTAATATTAGCTAATGCAAAGTATTTTCCCAGTTTTGAAAAATGATAGTTTTAACAGAGATCGGTACTATTAATATAGGACAGTGACAGTAACCAGATAATTATACATAAATGACATGAAAAAATTGAAATAAACGTTTATTAAAACTGACTCAAAATTTATATCAAATGAATAAGAAATGCAGAAACAGGGTTTGGAAAACAATTAATTAAAATAAGTGAGGATTTTTTTTTCAACATATATTTTTCCATTAGAAGTTATGCTTGTTTGCTGTTAAGCACAAATGGTTATCAGTGCTGTGTATACCTCATGGTTTGCTTTGGTTTGGATATTCATGAAAAGTTACATATGGGATACCTGCAACAGCCATCCATAAATATGAACTGACAGACTAGACAGAAGATAGTTAGTCAACATTGCCCACTCTCAACTCTTGGGCTACTCTAATAAAATAGGACACAAACTTTGGACTGTCAGATCCTAGCCCCAACACCACCACCTCAATGATCAATACCCAAGTTTTAGCATCATAAGCCCTGAATCTTACCAGTATACCAAAAAGGGATACAAAGTATAATTAAGTTTTTAATTTGTTAAATTTTTCTGAAATCTGAGCAGAAGATCTAATTTTACAGTTTTTTCTTTCAATTGCAGAGGTATGAACACTTGCAACACCAGTACTCCTTTTTAAAGAACTCCAAAATGATTCAATGTATAAACAATTTTCCTTCAGATATATGTAAACCTACAGCTACTATTACAGCTGACATGTTCAGCTTGTTAATCCTGTATAGCTCAAACCAATGTATAATATATTGTTTATTCAGGTGAATGAATGTCTGACAGAAAAACCAAGTTTCCACAAAAATGCAGGGACATGATTGCTAAGAATAATTTGAACATGGACAGTAAAGGAAAGCAAGTGAATATAAATGAAAAACAAATATTACTTCTATTCACATAAATGTCTGAAATGTTACTGAACTGCTATCCAATTTCTAATCTGTTTGACTATTCTCTTGCTGCTGGGATTAAAGAAAGGCAAATCAACAGCAACAGAAAAAAAAAGAGGGGGAGAGAGAGTGAGAGAGAACTATGGAAATACTCCAATTGTACTATCAATCCATAACCTTACAAAGGTTTCATACCAGTCCTCAGGTTACATACTTCAACCACTTGTTTACATAAAATTCTAAACCATCAATTGTAAGTGTTTCTGTACTACAGTGCTACCCACTTAAGTTGATCACCCAAGTCAACATCCCATCTTTGTCAACTACATTATAAAATCTTGCATTTCTGAATGAGAGTTCATATCGCTTGAAATAATTAGTCAGAAAGTCTGCCTGTTATTGCTCAGCATATTATGTTGATGAGAATATGTGACCAGTTATGATAATGTAATTTTTTTTATGAAGAACAGTACATAAATACGTATTGGTTATTTTATAAAATCCTCAGTGTATTAAAAGTATAGCCAGTTAAACAATGCTTAACTTTAGGGCATTAGAATGGGGAACACTGGAAGATAAATGTATTTTTGCCATGTGACTTGCTGCCATCTTAAAATGGCAATGTCAACAACCTGTTATGTTGACAAACTTGACATGGGCCCAACAGCATCCACATAAATGAGTAGCACTGTACCTGTTTGAATAGTCTACCTTCTTACAAGTCCATACTGATATGCATATATGCTAGGTATACATTTAAGAACAAAGGATGCAGTATGTAACCTTTACCTGTGTAAAAAGAGTAGCACATGTTTACAACTGTAAGGCATCCAGTCAACATGGATATGATTAAGTATATGAGAAACTGCCCGAAAATTTTGAAAAAAAAATACATTAGTATGCCTGAATAAACATATATTTTAAACTAATTATGAAAGTGTAATTTATTAGCCATTCCAGCTATAATAGTATGACTCCAAGAATGTGTATCACTCAGTTACAAAACTGTTGTTCCTTGACTCTTCTGAAACCACTAATAAATAACAAGCTTAGAGTGTTGACTCATTTTAATTTACTACTATTTTTATGAATTTGTAACCTCTTCATGAACATTTCATATCAATTTTTGGTGAAATGTGGTTTTCTACTTGAAAAACAAAACAGATATACATGTGTTAAAATAATTTCAAGACCATAAGGCATATGGTTGAACTAAAGAAAATATACAACTCTTTGGTCACTTTGCTGTTAATTGTGTTTCTGTGTTTTCTTCTCTATTCCCAACCAACACAATGCTTTTCTCTGCTCTACTTAGAGCTTGGCATTATAATCGATAACCTACAAGCAGCAATTCCATCAGTAAGTAGCACACTGATTAATTAAAATTACAATTAAATCAGTTAATCAAAATTAGTGTTTCAATTATTCCAACAATTAATCAAGCAAAACTCCAATAATATCAATTGTCATGAAAATAATAAATTAACTGAAATTAATATTTCTGGGTATTACTATTTTTGATTATTCCAGCATCTTCTACTAACTTTTTTTATTTTGCTTGTATGTACCATGGTTTGTACTAATCAATTAGTTTAAGTTAACTAATTATTAGGACTGTTCATTAATTGATTAGCAAATACCAAATCATCCTACTCTAGTCCTAATGAACAAACCTGGTCAAATCATTTTTGTATAACTTACAAACCTCAAAAAATTATTTTATCCTTCATGTGCTCACAAAAATATTTTCAAACAAATTAAAATGCACATTTATGGCTCTTATTACTAATACATTGTTATTAATACTTATACATCAGGAAAATATTTGTTTGTAATAATTATACTCATTACCTAACCTAGATCTGGAATGCTTATCCCTATATATTTAGCAGGATTATTGACTAATTTTTAAGAGTTAAAATAATATAAATTATGTATTTTCTAAATAGGTGTAGAAATTGCCATTACATGTATGCTATTTGGCACAAATAGCACTTAAAAACGTGCTTATTTCTATATCTTTTGTATTGTTAAATCAATAAAAATTAGTTTAAAATTAGCAGTAACCTATTTAAATATATTGAAGGAATCATGAACATTTCACAGACGGAAGTACAGAAAACACAACCATTAGAAAATATTTTGCACTATTTAAACTCATGCCCTCATTTACATAAAAGTTACATTTTTCATCTTCATAATGATACAATAATCATAAAAACAAACCATTATCTTTACAAGGTATTATAAAGAAAGAAATACACTCCAACATAGTGGGTTTATTTATTAATATAATAAGAAATATTCTTACTTGCTTTGGTTGACATCAACTAGAGAACCAATCTTTGAAGTGGTAAAAGAGACATGTTCATCTCCCATAACAATTTCTAATTCCTAATGAGAAAACTCTTTAATAAAGTATTTATAAAAAATTAGGAGCAGTGATACATCAATGTGTGTTTCTACAGTTATCTTTGGAAGGTTTACAAATAAAATGTTACTTTTTATTTTAAATATTAGTAGTTTACTTGCTGAATAAAACAAAGGAATTAAGATGACAATTTACTACACATGTATACAAATACACAGTATTTGAAATAAATATGGAAACAGGACAAACTAGGCAAATACATACAAACACAAGCACAAAGCATTATGACAAAGAATATGCATAGACAAATGAATTCATTGTTCAGAACATTAATATTTGGAATGTGAGCTTTTTGCTATATATAGAGCTTAACATCATGCTTTCATGCTTCTAGAAAATTTATCAATAAAGAAATGTAGAAGTTATAATGTTCCTATACTGAAAATGTATTTCTGATAAGTACTTCCCTTTACTCACAAGATTAGCTATTCTCTTCCAGTGATGCCCTCTATATGCAAATTATTTCTTTACGTATGCCACAAGTCTTCTGCTCCCCCCCCCCCTTAGTGGAATCAAATGATTCCAACATGTCTTTCAAGGAAATCATCATGCATCACTTCACCAGCAATAGGAGCATGATATACTCATGTGACTCCCTCTATACACCTCTACCAAACTATCACTTCGAAGCTTGGCAGAAGACGTAAGCACCAGAGGAAAGTGGGGAGGAAGGGTGGGAAGTGTGAGTAGAGCGAAGTACTTATTGGAAATACATTTTCAGTATAGGAAAATTATAACTTCCAATACAGTACTTCCCTCTTCTCACAAAATTAGTTAAAATCCCACATTAATTAGGTGGTGGGACCAGTGTGAGGAGATGACAGAAGCACCTCTCAAAGGATATCACCGGAAATAAGAGTCAGATCAGAAAATCTGATGAGGGGAACCATACCACTTCTGAACCAGGTATACTCTTCACTCATCCATGAAATGTGTAGTAGAAAGAAACACATCCAAGTAGGAGAGAAGTGTGGCAGGATAATGATCCTAACCATGTAAATATATATGTAACTCAATCCCACAAAATATAAAAGTGGGTGAAAAAAATGGATGTGCCCTTAAGTGTAGAGTGGCCATGGTGTGATGGACTGTACTTTGTATGTCAACTACATCCAAAACCTATGCCACTGGGAAATGGCATCCATGCGGGGGTAGGATGAGGATCATACCGTCTTCACCTCAGCATCCACGTAACCCCATATGGCCTCGGTGATGTTCATATTGAGATTTTGTGAAGGCCACAATATCTTTGCAAGTGTTTCGTCATCCTCTTACGTTCCATGTAGTTTTTCATTACATTGTCTGTACTCTTGGGGTCGCTGTCATGTCCCTGCCCAATGAGATACATTCCAGAGAGAATGCCATGATGGATCAAAACTTGTCTGTATCTGCAGTCAAGGATTGGTCATCTCACTGTTTCATTTTTGTTGTTCATTTCAGTCTTTTTGTTTTGTTCCCTCTGTTAGCAAAGGTTTCCAAGTGGCTACATGCCCACTAAGACCATTTTGGTTGAATGTGTATCATATTGTTCTTGAAGAAACATTAATACATGTACCTGCAGCAAGGTCAAGATCTCTACTGGATCGCAACCTATCATCCATTTACTCTAGGGAACTTTACAGCACTTCTGAATAGTTTGGGTTTCCTTCCTCGACCACTTCTATTGACAATAGTACCAGTTCCATGAACTACCATCACAGTCTTTGCATACAGCACTGAGTGAAACATGAAGCCATGCTATGATTCTGTCAATTGGAGTAGCCTTTTTTAGAAAAAACTTTAATTTCTATACAATTGTCAAGTGTAATTTCTTTCCCAGGAGCCATCTTGTTAACTACAAGTTTCAAATTCTACAATCCTTTCACTGCCTGTACTTACGTAGGCCTTGTGTTGGTTTGCCACTTTCAGATTGTTTGCCTGACACCCAATCACATTAGGCACTAATTCATTTTTACACAAAAGGTATTTTTCTATCAAGTGCAATTTGCACTATATACCCACTATGTCTTTTGTTTCCATCATTATTTTGAATACTGTATATACATTTACAAGTTAGAAATATTAGGTTACCAAAGCTGTTTGGCTAGTACCTGTTTGACTGGGATTACACATTTTGTGACAGTCTGTCAAAAAGCTCTGGTAATTTATAGACTCCAAGAATGTAGTTAAATCATTGAATAATATTATGAACTTCTTCATATGCCACATAAAAAGTGTTAATTAACTCAACCAGCATAAGCATGCAAGTGGCATGTTACATACACACACACAATATTTTCATAACAGTTTGTCATATTTTTGATTTCATATGTGTGTGTGTGTGTGTGTGAGCTAGTGTTTAACTTAAAGCAGTTTTAATCCTATATTTCCCGCTGTGTTAATTATGACATTGTGTAAATACTCAAGTATTTTTTTATTATTTATTTGAATTTCAGTCAACTATGATGTACCAGTTACATTCACTTTTATAATAATCAAAAGCATATATTTTAATCAAAAGTATATATTTCAGGATAAAACAGCCTTATTTTTTTATTCTTTGTACTGAAAAGTTCCTTGACATTTAATGTTTTGTTGAGGTAAGGTTTTACATAAATAAAAATAACTTCCTTTATCCTTAACTCCTCATTAAAGCTTCAGAGATAATTTAAAAATCATCAGAACTGAACCATTACAAACTTGCATATATAGACTGTGCTAAAGGTAGAGTTCTGACAACATTCACTGAAGTGTCATTGTAATTGTTATTTTGTATTTCCATTGGAGAATGCATGACAAGACTGATTTCTATAGCTATGACAAATAAATAGCACTGCATTTTTTATCATATTTTTGACCTTGAGTAGACTTCTTAGACTAAAGTTACTGTAAAAAAAATGACATGAAATGAAACTTGTAGGAAACGAAACACTAACTGAATTTTTTTAGGTTCATTCAGAGTTGATTTGACAGAGTTACCCTATAAAAGGCAAAGAAATTAAATCCACCTGAAATTTTCTTGGACAAAAAACGTAAAATAAGGCCCATAGTTGTTATATATATTTCAGAATCCATAATTTTTCACTGAACAGCAAAAATAATAATTTCCTATAAAATATGTTTTAATTTTTTAAATAATTTTGTAATAAAAATTTATTTTGAGATGGGAATTGTGAAACAGAACTGATGTGAGAATGACATTTCTATGAGATTTGATTTAACCTACATTCATAGTGTGATCACATGAATGTTGTCAAAACTCCAGCTTTAACAAAACCAGCATGTACACTAATATTTGCATGATTTGTTACTGTCCAGTTTCATCACGGGACTTTCAAATTATTACTTGCCTTCCAACTATATCAGGCTGAGACCACAGAGCATCATCATCATCTTGCATAAATTCAGTCTTCAATTACTTGCTGTGAGCATACAGCCATGTTTAAACACATATTGAATTTTCAGAAGTAGAAAGTAAAACCTGAGAATGACTAATATTTCTAAATTTTTCTTTAAACCTTGATAGTCATATCTCATTTCCTCCTCAAGTGTATTAAAGGGTCAGACAGATTTATTTGAATAATAGTTCATCGAACTTTAGCCTATCAATAGCTTAGAACACAAAGAATCTTGTAATGTTGGTCAAAATGGATTTTATTCTTGTTTAAAATTAGCAATATGTTGTAATATTATATTCATTTTTATTACAAGTTTTATAGGTACATAACCAGTGTGAGATATGGCATTCTTGGACATAAACACTAACTGCTAAATGTCATTTTCTAGTTTAAATATTATAAACTCATTAAATGTAATTCATCAATTATTCTAATAATACTGGTGTACATGAACATGTATTACCTGCCTTCCAACTCTGTCAGGCTGAGGCCACAAAGCATCATCTTCTTGCATAATCTCAGAGTCTTCAATTATTCGCTTCAGTTCTTCCATGACACACTTGTGGACATAAGCCTGTATTGAAATACGTATTGTGGAAAAAATGTTTAATTTTATAATTTAAAGGTTCATTAATCACTAGTGACAAGTGGTATTTTTCAGAAAGTAGAAAATTACTGAATAATAACCACAGAAAATTATATTAAAAAACAAACTTACAGCTGAAAAGTTTGAAATATTGAAAATCTTATGATCTTATGCCACAAAACTACATGCATCAACACCTTTTATCAACTATTTAAAACTGTTCTCTCATACCATTTATGTTACTTGGAATTAAAATAGTAAAAACAAGTAAAGCATACTGACACATTTCAGAAAAACAAGCACAGCAACAGTACAATATATAAATAACTATACAACATTTGCAGTTCACTGTGGAATATCATGCTTTGAAAATGAAAGTAAATATTCAGATTTTGTATTTACAACAAATAAGAACATTGTATATATATGTCTGTTAAAGATTTCTTTTTGACCAGTGGTGAAATTGAAAAGAGATTCTGTGACATAGAGGCCTAATGGATTCCTTGATTGGTTGTACCCTCTGCTGTGGACTGCAGTTTCACCTATTCAAGGCCCGTCAGCACAGCTTGGGTCAGCATACCAAACAAATACCATCAAACTTCTTATAATGGTGAAGTGTATATATCTATGGGGATTTGAGTCCATTTTACTCCACCATATAATAACCTAAATTAATTTCGATATATGAATAATGTTATGACATATCGTCACATTCATTATTCAATATTTAACTCACACACCTGTATATATACATACACAAGCATTAAACAGTTGGTCCACTGCATACTACTGTATAATGAATTAAACAGAATGTCATAACATTATTTACATACCTAAATTAATTTAGGTTACTATATAGTGAAATAAAATGGACTCAAAACACCACAGGAATAAAGACATTGTTGGTTTCTGTAGAGCTATTTAATAATCTAATGTCAATTTCACACACGATTTGTTTTGAAAGAACAAAGAAAATGATATTCTTCTTAAAACAACTTACCTCTTTCCTGATCATTGTGTCATTCTTATAATTGGAGTTGTTGGCATACCGTAACTTTCCTTAAAAAACAAAAGCTTTAAATGAGGAGTGCTTCATGATTCACATATACATTTGAATCATGACATGTTTATACTCATATTAAATTAGTCCATATCTGCATTTAATGGCAAATGACATAATATTTTTAATTATTTATAACTGTAGTTGTAGAAGAGTTGTAAAGTATCTTCTTTAATAGAATCCAAAAAAACACACAAGCACTTCTTCAGACTAGATTCTTGTTTTGGCAAGTAATTAAGAAAAAATTGAAATTCACGTTGATATATTGTAATGACCCTCTTACGTGAAGAATCCTCTGAAATTAGCTTTAGCATTGATGATTTGGTTACTACAGCATTTGTTTAAATGCTAGGGGTTCCATGGTAGTCCTGGAGGTGACTATCACTTGATATATTACAACTAATACAACATTTCATCATCATTATTAACATTTTATTATTTGAAATTCAGTGTCGCATGTTTAACATAATTGTGTAATTCAAATTTGAGTGTCAGAATTGTGTACTTTCCATTTTGATCTATCAATGCAATGTTGCTATAATTTCGGAAAGTATTTAAAAAGTTATGACCAGTAGAGGTAGGCAATTACTAGAATTTGTTAATCAATTATTCATGAGGCTCATCAATTGATTACGTTCGACTGATTATTCTTACAGGAGATGGCTAAAAACACTGATTATTCTCATATAATCTGAGTTGACTGAAAAAAGAAAAAGGCAAAACCTCTTTGTTCCAATTTTTATTTTTTAGAGATAGTCTGAAAATTTTCTATTAGGTGAATCACTACTGTCAAGATAACCATGCACTGCCAATTTTTATTTTTTAAATATACAGTAATCCCCAGTGATCTGTGTAAATCAAATAAACTGATAATCAGATAATGAAAACATGGTTTGCTATCAGTATCATTGATAATGGTAATCATGTTTTTTATTTAGAACATATCACAACTGAATTTTAAAATCATTAAGTAGCTAGTTAACCAATTTATTCAGCTATATTGTTCGAATACAATAACCATAAAAATAATATTCAATAAATCAGGATTTAAATAATTAGACTATTTTGCAGTTACCTAATGTACTAATTAAATCTAATTAAAGCTTACCTGTATTCTCGTCTAAGAAAATTTCTGTAGCTTTCAAACCCAATTTAACACACAAATACTTCCATTACAATTGTAAACTTTCCCAAGAATCCATAAACTACTGCTCAAACCATTATATTTATTTTAGAACGATGTGGAAAGTTTAATTCTTGCTCTATCCAATCATGTTAAAATATTTTTATAGCTTTTTTTATTAAGATATGTTTCATCAGTAAATATCTAATCATTTGATGTGCTATCATAAGAAGATGGCAAGAAAAAGAAAACTTGAAACCCAGGAAATGGATAATATACTCTCAAGGGAAGATTATTTTTTTTGCTAAAAACCTGTTATTCTTTGGGATTGGTAGAAAAATTCTAAAAAAAACTGACAAATCTGTTGTTTGCAAGGAAAACTCTTTGGATCTGTGCAGAAATGAAAATCTAAATACTTCTATAATTTTACATTAAATAAATGTTGGAAAATAACAGAAAATTGATTAAAATATTTTTGAGTTAATGTTACAAAAATAAGAGTTAGAATTAACACATAAAATTGACTTTGAAGTTTAAATTAGGAATAAGTTACTTTGTTAATCTCAAACTGAAGTACATGAAAATGTATCATACATGTGATGTTTTACAAACCCTGTGACAAGCTGAAAAAGCAACTCATAAGATTCAGTAGGTTTCTCTCTAATACATTCCAAAAGAATGATGTACTCTATTAATACTAGTGAATATTTGTTGATGAAAATTAGCATATTACTCCATGATATTTTCAAACAACTTTTCATATAAAGTTTTAATAACTATTACCCTAAAAGAATCTCACAAAAAATATTTTAAAGAACATAACTAGTTTCAGCCATATACCTGTATTACGCATCAACTAAATATATCATTCATTGTTGGAAATAAAACTGTTTATTAAAACATGTGCAAGATCACATGATATTTGACCAACACTGATGTTCATTGTAAAATAGAATAAAAAAAAAAAGGATTGCAATATGATGTACTTATCAAAAACATTTTTGAAACATAAAATAGATTATTAATTGTAAAATACTTCATGAAATTTTTTTTAATGTTAATATTTTCCTAAATTGAAAATGTATTTCCAATAATACTTATCTCCGCTGACACTTAGAGCTAATAGTTGACTGTCAGGGTTTCTTCTTTGCCCATATAAACATTAATCTGAAATTTTATCGCTTGCTCCAGTCTTTTATACCCCAATTAAGTGCCCTTGGTGATACATGTCTTGTGATACTCTCCACCTATGTCAATTCGCTCTCTATCCTGACTGTATATAAGCACCTCATTCAGATAATTTTATCACTTTTTCGAGACTGACATCATCCCAGTCTCTAATACATGCTCTTAGTGGGGAGGAAGAGTGGAAGAGTGTCAGCAAAGGTAAGTATTATTTAAAATACATTTTCAATTTAGGAAAACATTAGCTTCCAAACATACATACCTCCACTGCCACTTATAGCTAGAATCTTACAGTGAGAAGGTGGATGGGCCGGTGAGGACATAATCCATACAGAAAGCATCTGCATAGATCATGGGTGTACTAAGATAAGAGCAGTATCAGAGTGGGGGAACCACACTACATTCAGAACAGGTATGCTCTTAACCCTGAACTTAGTTCCTGTATCAAGGATGGAACTGTACATCAGTGATCATCACTATAGGCCAGCCCCAACCAGATAGTCGAGGTTCCACTACTAGGGGTTGGAATCAAGGGGTCTTGGTCCCTATCTCCCACGTTGGTGGCTAGGGCAATTAGACTGCAACATTATATATAGATATAATTTTGATTGGATCCCAACCTGTAGCCACAGAGTGATGCATTCTGAACTACTGGAATCATGATGAGAAAGTAAGCAACTCCGAAGTGAACAAACCTTCTCCTCCACCTGAAGAAGCCCAAAAGGCAACACCTTGGGCTCGGAATGAGGGGATCGTGTATGCCTTACTCAACCAATGGAACAGAACTCATCCGGTCTGGAATTATGAACATTCATCCTCACTCCCCAATCGAGTGGGCTAGGAGCCTTCTACTTGCCCCAGGAATTAGGGGAGGATGTGGAACAACTGTGCTCAACCAAGGACCAAGAATGGGACCATTCCGTGCCCAGAATTACGAGGAGATAGTAGACCTCCTTCCATGAACAATATACTGATCAATAAAGAGCCATGCACACCTCAATTGGATAGCTGAGCATCAAATCTGAACCAGTACTATGAGTAGGTTGGTGCCGCCCCTACCAACATCTGGGAAAACATTGAGGAACCCAGGTAGGAGAGCCCCAACTTCATCCTCTTCTCTAACACTCTGCAGGAGAGTCCTTTGTCCACCACCCCAGTGACTGGAAAACAGGTGTGGTAAGGACTCCCTAGTTCCACAAGTAAAATATGGGGGGGGGGGGGAGTAATGCATGTTGGGGAGTCCTGAGGAACAGTGAACCAAGTTCCCTAAATTTTTAAAAGCAAACCAACCCCAATTTATTCAGCCCAATGAACTGAAGGCTTGGGCAGGGTGACTTTTAGCTTTACTCATGACAGTCCATGCGTGGTGGTCCATTTTTACAGAGCCTATTGCTACCGGTAGTAATTATAGTGAAATAGTGGTTGCTAGTGCAGAAATGGTTTGATAAAAGCAACTCTTGTCTGAGCAATACTTACCACTGAGTGGGATCCTGTGAAAACAAGGTAAGTGTCAAAAAGGCTTATCATTCTTAATATTATATATAGTAGCAGTATTTAGTAAGTAGGTTGAATAATATGGGTGTTGGGCTAAGGATTCTTCTACAGTATGTGTCTGACTTGTTACCGATAAATTCAAAAATAAATGAATACAATGCACTCTGCTTGTTTTAAAATAATATATTCCAAACAAGTTAAATGTATGTACAATTTTTTTTTACAGTATGCATATCATATTTGTATCTTGAATACAATACATAGTTTTCTTCTTGTCAAAAGTCCACTTAGGCTTATTCAATTGCTATAGTATTTCGGTTGACAAGCCGAATTACCTTACTCTATTTCTATCGCACTAGTATTCCGTGTATAATTCACTTACAATGAGTTACTACAGTCGTATACTGCTCTTCCAATAATCATCTGGTCCTCATACTTCAGATATTGTCAGTTCCTTTTGTTAAAGTGCACTCAGGCCAGTTCAACTACTTTAGGACTCGCTTTAATGAAATAAACTATACTTCTTATCTCTTGTAAAACTGTTAGCTTTCCTCTAACATATTAATCATTAGGCCTTTCACTCCTAAGGTAGATAACTTTACATTTAACTTTCCTTGGTCAAACTTCTACTTCCTGTGACTTTATATTCTCGTCTGCTCTGTTTGCTGTTCCTGCTTGTCTCACACTATTTATGTATTTATCAATTAATTGTCTGGTCACCTTCTAGAAATCTTTATATCCTCAATGTCAATAAATTTCATGCAACGTTCAATAGCATCAAAATTAATGAATTATAAACACAACTTCCAATAATCATCAGCTTTTAACTCTCTTATTATAAAAAAAACTAAACAATCATGAAATATTAACTCACAAAATTAATTAATACTACCTACACTAAACAGTTTTATATCATGACAGTAAGGGAACCTGAAAGGTAGAAATAAAAAATACTCACCCCTCTGGATAATCTAGCAGAAATAATGAGGATAGCTACAGGAGGTAAGCAAAAACCTTCAGATGAAGAGACTGCCAGATCAGGCAAATAATGTGAGATAAAGGTGTTGGGGGAGGTCCACATACCAGTCCGCAAAATGACCTGCAGCGGGCAATTTGACTGGGCTGCTAAGGACATAGACAAGAGAAATCTGATTGGATGTGACTCAGAGAAGATACCTCACCTTCAAAGAGAGCCCA